TATGTGTTATTTTTTTATGTATTACGTATTTATATCTATTTTTATGTATTTATGTATTTTTTTAAAGTTTTTATATGTATATGTTTACATTTTTGAAGTATTTTAAATTTATAAACGTATTTTTTTAAATGTATTTATGTGTATTTTTAAGTATTATATATATATATGTTATTTTTTATGTATTTTTAAAATTTTTTATATAGATGTTTATGTATTTTTATGTATTTTAAACGTATAAACATATTTTTATGTAATTATATGTATTTTTAAGTATTTTACATATTTTTATGTATTTCTATTAGGGGTGGGTGTGCATAGGCGGAGTTGGGTTGGTTTTGAACTAAAACCGAACCCAACCCGCTAATTTCGGTTTTCAATAATTCAAACCCAAACCCAAACCAATGGGTTCGATTTTTTAGGTTCTCGGTTTTCAATGGGTCGGTTTTGGGTTTAAACCCAAACCCAACTACAACCTTACTTCTTGAGAAAGAATAAGTGACATTTCTTATATAAGAGAAGAAATGGCTTCATGTTTGTGTATTGGGGCGATGTGGGATGAGAACTAACCTTCAGAATAAATATCAACATATAATAGAAGAGGCGAGGATGAGATTCGAACTCGAGGCCTGCTGTACTGAACAAGCTTATATGTCGAAACACTTAACCACTGAACCAACTTTTCGTACATGTTTTTAAATCACGGAAAAAATATATATATATATAGATATGAGGCTGGAAAAATAAAGTAAGCATGAGACGCCTTAACCATCAGACCAAGCTTTTGATCGTCTTTCTAACTCATGCAAATCGTATATATACTTAGATAATTCACAAAATACATATATTTCTTAATATTCGGTTCGGTTCGGTTTCTCTCGGTTTTAGTAAACCCAAACCGAAATTTTCGGTTTTTGAAAAATCTAAACCCAACCAATCGATTTATGCTTCGGTTTTGGTTTTTCGGTTTCGTTTTTTTTTTTTTTCAGTTTTTGTTGGTTTTTCAGTTTTGCTTACCCCTAAATTTTCTATGTGTTTTTTATGTATTACATATTTATACGTATTTATGTATTTTTTTAAAGTTTTTTATATAGATGTTTATGTATTTTAAATGTATGACTATTTTTTTTACGTATTTATGTATTTTTTTTACTTCAAGTCATCTTCACCATTTCATCTAATTTGTACAACTTCTTCGAGCATGTCTAGATAGTTTTCCTACATACCCACATATTTTAAGTTTTTCCCATTCGATTCTCTTGAAATTAAACTTCGACTGTGAAAAACTTAAAATATGTGGGTATGAAGGAAAATCATCTAGACATACTCGAAGAAGCTGTACGAGTAGATGAAATAGTGAAGACGACTTGAAGTAAAAAACACATAAATACGTAAAAATAATACAATTGTACATTTAAAATACATAAACATCTATATAAAAAACTCAAAAAATACATAAATATATAAAAAACACAAAAAATATGTAAAATGCTTAAAAAATACATATAAATACATAAAACAATATGTTTATGCATTTAAAATACATAAACAACTATATAAAAAACCTTTTAAAATACATAAATACGTAAAAATACATATAAATACGTAATATATAAAAAAACACATAAAAATACATAAAAAAAATATGTAAAACACTTAAAAATACATATAAATACGTAAAAAATATGTTTATACATTTAAAATACATAACATCTATATGAAAATCTTAAAAAATACATAAAAATATATAAATACGTAATACATAAAAAATAACATAGAAAAATACATAAAAAATATGTAAAATGGTTTAAAATACATATAAATACGTAAAAAAAATACATTTATACATTTAAAATACGTAAAAATACATAAACATATACATATAAAACTTAAAAAAATACATAAATATGTAAAAATAGATATAAATACATAAAAATACGTTTATACATTATATCTAAATTTTGACAAAATCTGCAGAAAAATCCTATTATTTTGAAAAAGTTAACAATATGGTCCCATGACCTGCTGAACAAGTCAAAAATGGTTGAAGTGAACAAATTAACCAGTTTATTGAGTTTTTATATTCAAAAAATTAAAAAGTTGGGACTTTTCTATTCAAAAAATATAATTTAAGATTTTATTAAAAAAATTTCCAAAATATTAGGATTTTTCTGGATATTTCTAAAGTGTAAAAGCCAAGACTATTGTGGCAAAAGTCAAAAAGATAAAACTATACTATTTTATTTTTGACACAAAAATCAAATTTGCCGGTATACGAACCTATTGTGATAAAAGTCTAAAAGCCAGAACTATTATGACAAAAATCAAAATGGCAAAAGTATATTATTGTTATGGCAAAAATGTAAAAACCAAAACTATTGTGACAAAAATAAAAAAAACCAAAAATATACTATTCATAAATGTGTTGTTTTTTTTATTATATATAATAACAACATATCTGATAAATTTAATTGCTTAAACCATTTAACTCAAATATATAATAATATACAAAAATACCATGTATTTACTATAGATACTTCGTATCAATGAGGTAAGACTTAGTTGTCTTAATAAATAAGTTGTTATGCTGTTAAAAAAAACACACAGTTAAAAATAAAAATTAAAAGTAGAATTTCGTATATATTATTATTAAATATCAATATATCATATTTGTCCTTAATTTCTAAATATTATATTTATCTTTCATAAAATTTTAAAATATCGTATATGACCTTCTTAAATATTAAAATATTATAAACACCATTTTTAAATATCAAAATATCATATATGTCATTTTTAAACATCAAAATATCAATGATAATATCTAAATATTATCAATGCACAACATCACAACATTCAACAATAAAAACTAAGCAACCGATGCATATATTCTATGGAGAGGACTGGAGATGAAACATTTTGTTTGATAAGAGGGTGACAATCAAAAAATTTAGAAGTAGACTTTTCATTATTATAAATGTAAAGATAATATGGTTAAAATTTGTAATTATTATATTCTATGATATAAAAATGATTATAAACTATTAAAAACATTGTAAAAAAAGATTTAGGCAAATATGATATTTTGAAGGTTTATAAAGGGTAAATATGATATTAAAAAATTAAGTGAGCAAATATGATATTTTGATGTTTAAGAATAACATATATGTAAAACTTAGCAATTTTATAAATCCATATATGGAAAACCTAGCAATTTTATAAATCCAAACATTTGATTGTAAAAACACAAATTTGAAAAACTGAAAAACTGAAAATCAAATTGTTTTTAAAAACACAACAAGACATAACTGAATAAGGAAACCAAAAAGACTGAATCATTTTAGAAAAAAAAAACCAAAAAAAATATAACTAAAATATCAAAGTGTTAAAAAAAATATTGCAAACTAGAAAAATAATAATATCAAAAATTTTAAATCACAATAGTTGTTTCAAATATATATTTAGGGATATAAATGAACCAAGCGAACATGAACGAGAGTTGTTCATTTTCGTTCGTTTAAAGTTAGTCAAACAAACGAACGAACATAAACATATAAACAAATGAGTTTTCTTGTTTATGTTTGTCCGTTTAATAAGTTACATTGTTCATGCTCGTTCGTTTATATTCGTGAACATACTAAACGAATATAAATGAACAGACAAACGAACGAACATGAACATATAAACAAATGAGTTTTCTTGTTGATGTTTGTCCGTTTAATAAGTTACATTGTTCATGCTCGTTCGTTTATATTCGTGAACATACTAAACGAATATAAATGAACAGATATAAACAAACATATATGAACACAAACAAACATATAGTATACTAATGTAATCAAGTATAATTGAACATATATTATATATAAACATAAAACGAACTTAAATGAACGAACATAAACCAACATAAACGAACAATATAAACAAACGTTCATGAATATAATTGAACGAACAAGACCATTGTTTATGTTCGTTCATTTAACTAAACGAACGAAAATTTGTGTTAATATTCGTTCATTTATTAAATAAACGAACTTTCTGACGAACGGTTCACGAACAATCTGCTGAACGTTTGGTTCGTTTACAGCCCTAGATATATTAAATCACATTAACGTGACATGTTAATGACTTGTAACTTTATAACATATCATCAATGACTTTCTTAAAAAATGCTAAAAATATAATAACTTTAAATAAAAAAATAATGTAATTATATTTCAAATTAAAATTAAAAACATAAGATTTTTCTGAAATTTGCACAAGATATTTAACATTTTAACCCATTATTTGACAATTTTTTTATTAAACCTTATATCAAAGACATGCAGAGGTGGCAGAGCTGATTCTCCCCCATCGTATCCCTCCAAATAACAACCTTCCAATTACTCTTGTCGTATGCTATCTCATCTTTTTATAGACACAAAAATCTTTACAAAATTTTATTTTCAGTTTCTGTTTTTTTTTTAATCATTTGCAGCTCATCTTTATAATAATTTAAAAAAAAAAATTTACTTGTCGTTTTTAATCTACTAAAGAAACATTACTATCTTTTTTTTTTTCAAAAAAAAAAAAATTACTTTTCGTTTTTTGTTGAACTTAATGGTTAACTAATTAACCTTATTCGTTTTCTTGTATCCTTTTGTCTTTCGTATATTATTGGGTTATTTTAACGAGAGTGTGTACACATACTTTAGTCATAAAAAATCTTTCTATTTACACTCGATAAGGCTATCTGGAGTGGAGCCTCAAATCACGCATGAAAGTCTATGTGGCAGCCCAAGGGACGCGTGAACACCGCCCCAATCTCCGGTGGCTTGACTATGGCGTCTCCATGAAGACATCCAATAAGAAGTAGGCAGCAACATCGGTCTCTCTCTTTCTCTCTCTTCTTTTTGCCTCTTCACCACTAACCCACCAGTAAACATCATTTCCAACCAGTAGATTGGTTGTGGAATGGTAAAAAAATCTACGTGTCGTCCTTTTTACTCATAAACCACTAGTGACGATACCCAAAGCCTAACATATGTACTTTTTTCACATGTGTAGAGAAGCATTTTGAAGTTTGGAGTTCCATTGTAACTAGAGATGTCAAGCAATCTAGAATTCTCCAAGCTCATCTTTTGGACTTCTCTCTCACTTACCCTTCTACTTCACATCGGTCTCTCTCTCTCTCTCTCTCTCTCTCTCTCTCTCTCTCTTAGTGTGTGTGTGTGTGTGTGAATTTTGCAACTAAGGAGAGAAATGTAAATGTGCAGGGAATGGAGAAAGGTGTGAAAGAAATGGTCCGAGTGTAAAGCAAACCGAAACCGGGTTCAAGAAGCCACCCACGTACACCGTTGAGGTCAAAAACACCTGCCCGACATGCCCGGTGATTGATGTTCATGTAGAATGTGGAAACTTTTCACAAGGTCTAGTGAACCCTATGATTTTCAGAGTGTTGGGTCAAAACGATTGTGTTCTAAACAATGGTTCACCATTGGAGCCTCTTGAAGAGATGTCTTTTAAATACTCTCATACCATGTATGCATTGAAGCCTTCCACTTGGTATTATCAATGTGAGTAATTAAGAGTTATTCAATGTATGTCAAGTATTTTGAGATAATGTCATAAAAGATTTGTTCCATCTACTTAACTTCTTTTTTTTTTTTTTTTTTTTTTTTTTTTTTTTTTTTGTGATGTTTAAATGTTTAACTAGTCAAGCTTAATCATTATTTCAAATGAAAAAGTTTATTTTATTTCTCTACACTATGAGAGTTTTTTCAATTTATTTATTTTTTTAGATCAATTTTAGTTGTAGTTTATTATTATTATTTTATTGTTGTTGTATAAGTTGTTTATTCTTGTTAATTAACAAGTTCTTCTAACTTTGGTTTGAAAAAGCTCCTCTAATTCCAAGAACTTTTTTGTTTAAAAAAACTTTCAAAAATTCCTATTTTGGTACGACCTAAACCATCTACAATATAAGCTTTTCTAGAGTTTTTTTAAAGTATTTTTCAAACGAAAATTTTCTTGAAGAATTAAAAACTATTTCCAGAGTTTTCCAAACCAAAGCTTTTTTTAAGGAGTTTGTTAATTAACAAAGTCTTGGTAAGACTTTTTCAATGTTTAGACGGGGTCTTACAGGTTTTCAACTAATTATAAAAAGATAATATATTGTAGATCTTGTAAATAAGCAAATTGAAACGTATTGGAGATAAAAATGAGATTTTTCAATTTAAGTTTTTTCATTAAAAACTTATCAAAATCTCTTTTACTATGGATGCTCTACATGTTAGACTAACGATTTGACGATCACATGATAATTAATGACGTGACAATATATTTAAAATAATTTCGTTAAATAGTAACCAACATTTAATTTTGCATCATTTAAATATCTCAAAAAAGAAAAAAATTGTGACGTTTATCCCCTAAAGTTTAAGTTTTGTTCCATAGTTATAACCTTTCGATCCATCATAATACTTGTACCATTATAAATTCATTAATCATGTATTCCTATTTGGATTAATTAGGTGAAAATTTATTGTATCATAAGGTTTAATAGAGCAATTGATAACAAGATTAATAATATCATAGCCCTATGAACATTAAGACTACAAGAACATGATAAATTATGAGAACCAACCAAATGTACCAATCCAGTGATTTCATCTTTCAGTGTGATATTTGTAGAGCCTAAAACAATATATAAAAATAAATAAATAATAAATCATAAATCATAAATAAATAATAAATTTCAGTAGTGATAGAATAAGAATATTCAAAAACATAAGACTCACAGTTATATTCGGTCCATCCAATTTTTTGGTTTTCAAGATCATACAAAACCAGCTTATTCGAGAGTACCAAATCTGAAAAATAAAATAATAAATAAATAAATATGGTTGTAATTTTTATTAATCTAATAATAATAATAAAGTATTTACCTCCTAATATAATTATGTCTCTTGAACTAATGGAATCCATTCCATGGTTTTGCCACCCAAAACACAAGAAATCTTCCTACAAACATATTGCTACTTATTAATTCGTTTTATAAAAAAGCGTAATGATAATAAAAATAATAAAAATAATATATCAAGGCATAAAGGGGTTAAAAGATTTAGAAGATACTTACATAGTTAAATAAATAATCATGAGGATAAACCTTCAAAGAAAGTGAATTTTCAAAATAGAATGTGACGTCAGGAAATCCATCATCACCACTACAACATATCAAACAAAACTATTATTATTAATACTATTTTATCGCTTTAATACAAAATAAGGTTATGTAAAGCCTCAATATTTACAAAAAAGACCCTTAATTTGTTAGAAAGTTTCATAAAACACTACCTTCCAGAGAATTTAAAACACGTATACTGGTCGTGAAGAATACTTAACCTCATATCAATCTGTCCTCCAACTATCTAAACAAAAAAATTGATAACAACAAGAATATAAATAATTAAAAAAGAAAAATGAAAAATGAATTAATTTATTTTTAACTTTTAATTTCACCTTATTCACCAATTGCTTGTATATCACTTCTGGTAAATATGCCAATGTTGTACCACTATCTATTATTGCCTTTCTCTTTTCTACTCTTCCATATGAATCCATTGAAATATTCAAAAACTCTTCACCAACTTCAATTCCCATTACATTTACAGTGTAATGTGGCCTATAAATTTATAAAAGCCACAAACTTTATTGAATTTCAAACAATAATACTTGAAAAAAGATAGAAATTATCAAATCATGATATATTATCACTCACTGATCTTGGATCAAATGAGTTGAATTAACTTTCGGTTGAACAACATTCCCCATTGCAAAAATCCCACCTCCATTATCTCCATCTAAACAATGTGCAAACATCTTTTTCATTTTCCCTGAAGATGCAAGTTGCGATATTACAGATGCATTTGATTTTCCAAATCCAAGAATCCCATCGAGTGCTTCTGAAGAAGAACCTAGGTTTCCAGATTGTCTAGCACCACACCTGATTATAATCAACAATGATAAAGATTAAAGAGAAAAAAAAAATGAAATATTGATAAAGATGTAGATCATGTACCCAAAAACAATACTTCCATTTGCAAGCTTAGTTTCCAAGTCACCTGACACACTGTTATATTGGATAACATCTTTGACAAAGTAACCAATACTACCACTTCCATCTTCATAAGTCTCTGTATACAGACAAGTTGCATTGCCTTTGCAACCACCAACTTTTCCACCATTGATGTCTGCACAAAACTCTTCATGACATGTCACAGGTCTTCCAGTAAATGAATCATTTGGATTGTAGAGTGTAAGTTCCAGCTGTAAATCATGTTTAGAAGCTATGAGGATGAAAGAAGAAAACTAGAATCAAATTGAATCATATACCCCATTATAGCCTTTCTCAGGGCACCCTTGGCATTGTATGCAATTGATCCACATTATATCACTTCCGGTATCTACTTGCACATAGTATTCATTTGGTGGTGTTCCGATTCCGATTTTGGTATAGTAAAGCCTGTGACAATTAGGGTTACGTATCACATTCATGAAAGTATAATGTGAATCATAAGCTAAATGTAGACCTCATTTTTGAAATCGATTCTTATGAGTTATATCAATTGTCATTATCGATCAGTATGTAACTTAGAATACACCTGTATACAAGCCCTAGTTATGAATAAACTTCAAAATCGTTTTCTGAAATTCAAATTTCATATTCGATCAAGGAAACTCGAAATGAATAGAGCATGATTACAGTCTTAGGAGATACAATACACGATAAAAGCAGAGATAGAGTGTATACATACCCAACCGCATCAGGACGACTGGTTCCACCTAGAGGGAGGTCGACGCCGGAGGCTAGAATTTGAAGGTGACGGAGACTATCATGAGCTTTAAGAACGCTAAGTGACCGATCCTTCTTTGAGAATTTGGAATTCACGCTGAAAACTGCACCGCGGAAATTACGATTCTCACTTGCAACCAATGAAATGGAGATTGAAGCGACGAATAGTAAGGAGACGAAACTAGAAACAGCGATGACAGCCATGATATTGAATACGATTTTATCGTTCACTAACCACTCTATGGAGACAATTGAGCATGTAAATGAAATTAAAGGCAAATCTAGGACGCCAGCGACGGCGGCGCGCTAGGGATGACGCCGGAGAGACTTGGAAGGACGCAAGTCCGAGTGACACTCAGAGCCCAGGACTCTTGAACTTCCTCTTTACGTCGAGTTCCACTGCAATAAAATATAAATATATTTAGTTATCTGGAGTGTCTTTGAGCGAATGAAATAAGTCAATAAGTATACATGAAGTGTCCCATTGAACTTCTCTTAGAATAAAATTTGGTGGCACAAAAACTCTAAACAAAAGACAAAAGAGTATACAATAATTAAAGTATTCCAACCAGATACTCTTATGGTTTCATTGATCATAGTGAGATTGTGAGAATGAGATGTATTTTGTGTCTCGTTAAAAACAACTTTGTCAAGGTAAATTTAATGGGATAAAACCCTTGAACTAATGATAAAAAGAGAACACAAGCATTTGTCGGATGCTCCTCCTCATATGCACTCAAGAGGTGCTCAGCATACATCATAATGCAATCCTTACTTGCACACAACTTGGTGCATGATACATGTTATTTAGGTAGCTCGGAGAGGTTCCTAAGTCTAATAGCATTGACATATTTTTGGAACAAAAACTTTGGTAGTGACTTGGTGAATAGGTATGCATGATTCTTCTCTAATCCAATATGTTGCACTTTAATCTTTTGGATTGCTTGTTCTCATGTGGAAAAAACGATTTTGGCGAGATGTGCTTAGTGTATTCCTTTTTTATGTAACCATGTTTCACTTGATCAATAACAACAATGTTATCTGCATATATGATAACTAGTTCATTAGGATCATAAGCTAAATCACATGTACTTCAAATATGACCGATTACAGCTTGAAGCCATATATGCTCTCTAGTTGCCTCATATAGCACGAGTAGTTTGGCGTGATTCATCGAAGCAACAACTAGATTTTGTTTACAAGACCTTCAAGATAGTCATGTTCCCTATGTTAAAGACATAACCAGATTGGGAACATCCCTTATGCAAGTCTGATAAGTAACTTGTAGCAGTATAGCCGTCAATGGTCACATTATTTCGAATATTATTTGGGGTTGATCCACTTGATGACACGCAGAGAGAGAATAAACTCATATCCATAATACCTTTAAGGTAGCAAAAGATGTCTTTAATACCATTCCAATGGCAGTGTGTTGGTGCAATGTTGTGTCGAGCAAGACAGTTCACATCAAATGACATTTTTGGTCTAGTACATTGGGCCAAGTACAATAATATGCCTATTGCCCTCAAATATAAACACTCAAGTCTCAATATCTCTTCATCGTCCTCCTTTGAAAGGAATGGGTCCTTTTTAATGTCTAGAGAATGAAAGATCATGGGAGCAGATGACGGATTTGTGTCATGATGACTAAAGCGTCTTAACACCTTCCGGGTGTAATTTTCTTGATGGAGTAAAATCTCATCTTTACGTTGCTCGATCCGCAAGCCGAG